AGGAACGAAACGACAAAGTACAATATGCTTGAAAACAGAGCTCTTTTAATAAAGAAATATTAGATAGATTTTCCTCTATGTCTTATCAACATAGCAAAGTGTTTAGTAGCGAGCCGCTTGGTGTGAAACAGATCGCATCATACAAAAAGATCTCCTAAACGCTCGGATGGGAAACTATATTCAGAGAAACTTGAATCGAGGCCAAGTTTTCATTTAAGTACTTTGCGGCCCTAAACTTTTGCAGAGTGCTGTCTATTTCTCAAAATGATGTGTCATGAGACGCAGAGTCATAATCTTTTACTCGCTTGGTTTCAGTCGCGCTTTAATCGTAGAAATCTTCAGTTATATTTTTCTAATTAACAACTACCAATCGAATGCCGCTTACTCGTAATTGAAGGTGTTAGTATGACTCCTGTGTTTTCAAGTGATTGATAACAAATGGAAGGGTGACATATGTTTACAAAACACCAGCATTCGATTATGAACTCACCGTTATCATAATGTTATGATATTTAGCTTCAATAACTCTAAGTGCCTCCCAGACGTCTCTATGCTCAGTTTCTTTTAACTCCTAAAGGTCCATTAGTCAGGCTTGTGAAAGGAAATAAGAGAATAAAATGTTAAGAGGCATCAAGGATAGACAGATCAGGACTAATAACAGGACAAACCTAGCGTTAAGTTTCTTTCCTCCGTGGAATAGGTGTAACACTATTTCCAATCTTTCGTCAGGGTATGTGGCAGTTCTTAGAATATTGGGAGGGGATTTGGAGGCGCAGAAAATAAAGTTTCATACCTTAACACCTTTATTGTTGTTGAGCGCCCAAAATGAAAGCGTGGAAAATGTCAGACATGTTTTTAGACTTTTTTTTTCTTCAGCGAATACGCTTTCTTATGGTAATTCAGATTTTAAGGGAAGGTTAGAAAGATCAAAAACACATTTTTCAAATGGGAAAATGTAACTTACCAAAATCTTGTTTACTAATATTAATGTAACATTCTCTGCAAGCACCTTGTTGATTGTATTGGAGCTCCTATCAACTTCTGGAACGGACGAGAGCGCTTTAGAAGCTGAGGGTTCTGATAATAAGCGAAAAAATACGATCCTTATTGCCCATTAAATCAGAACATCGTTATCGTACATTCAAAAAAAGAACAAACAAAGTGTAAAATATTTACATAAGATTTTCAGTAGTTATACTAATTATCTTAATTAACAGTTGTTATCACGATACATGGAACCCAACTGCTTTATCTTCTGTTCTATGAGTGCAAATGTTCCAACCATACCGATGGATCCT